CTGTGAGCTGCATCAAGGGCGAGCGTGTCGTCAAGTGCCTGAGCGTGGATTTCGACTCCCACCGGTTGGTCCACAATCGAGGCGACCAGGGGTTGTCACTGCTCGACGTTCGAATGGCCCTGTCCAGCGCCGGCCCCGAGGGTGGCGACGCCCAAGTCCACGCCCCACCCGTCGTAACGTCGTGGAAGGCACACAGGCGGCGCCGTCCTCCGTGTGCAAATGCAAGGTGACCGCATCGTCACCGGCTCGCGCGACAAGACTGCTAAAGGTATACCATCCATCACGCACCGCTCACTTTCTAGAGAAGAGTGTCAGCTGATTTGTTATGATAATGACGCCAGTGTGGGATCTGCGTTCGCCGGCCGAGCCGAGGGCGGTCCTCACGCTACCACACGAGGATTGGGTGACCAGCCTCCAGTTCGACGAGGAGACGCTCAGGTGTGCCTGGGGCGCCGACATCTCGACCTACTTCTTTCGCTCTGCCGAGGCTTGACCTTGCTTGCGGGTCCGCCTCCTTTCACAACCCACCGTGTATTGTATTTATTTCTTTTTTACTCTAATAAATAAATATTTATTAGAATTTATTATTTGGTGGCGTGTTTTTATTTTTCTTTTTGAGCTTTTTATTTTTTCCGGGGTTCGAACCCACGCACGAGAGCGATGTCGTGGGTTTGCTTTTTGAATGTTGAATGGGCCAAGAGAGAAGCGAGACTGGGGGGCTGCAGGCACCGAAGAGCAAAAAGGCCCTCGGGAGCGCTGTCGGCCGACCAACCTCTCGTGGCGGCGCACAGCACCGGTATTGAGGAGGTGTGCCACACCGCTCATCAGCCCCCAGCTGGATATCCATCCCCAGGCGAAAACTCACCTAGGGGAGGTAGGCCTGGATGACCTCTCTACCCATTGGTCTCGCTCCTCCTTTTTTACCGGCCTTCTCTCGTTCATCCATTCATTCATCTCAGCGAACACCAACAAACCGCCTACACCAACCACAAGAAATGGCTTACGTTCCGACCTGGCTCGCCATGGCTCTCGCCGCCGTCGTTGGCATCATGTGCGCCTTTGCCCAGTCGCCGCCCTCTGGCCCGTGCCTCGGCGGAGCCTTCCCCGACGCCGGCAACTGCTGCCCGACGATGATCAACATGATCAACTTCTACCGCGATGCTCGCGGGTGCTACCCGACCCGCGTGGCCAACAACCAGGTCCTCTACGCCGACGTCGGAGGGTACCCACACCCATTCCACACATTGCTTATCTTTTCGGTTGCTGACCTCTGTTGTGAACGCATCTGTCAGGTGCTTCCCCAACGCGCAGGGCACGTACAGGCCGGCGGGCGCCACTTGCCCCCCTGGCCAGCAGTGCTCGCCCACGTGTCTGCCCACCGTCGTCGCCACTCCTCAGCCCACTCGCCGTACGAACCCACACCTCAGCTCAGCCTCGCTCCCCCCCACCACCACCACCACCACCAACCGTTCTCACCACCGCACAATGTGCGATGCATGCACAACACAACACAACAGCGGCGTGCCCGGCCAACGCGCAGAGGGATCCGGCGGGCTGCTGCCCGCGTGCCTTTGGCATGTCGCTGTTCTACCGCGACGTGCGCGGGTGCTACCCGATCGCGACCAATGTGGGCGTGCTCTACGCCGACGCGAGCGGATGTTACCCCAACGAGGCCGGCGTGTACAACCCGGCCGGCATGGCTTGTCCCGCTGGTCGCCAGTGCGTCCCTGCCTGCGACTAATGCGCCCGTCGAGCGAGATCGCCACACGCCCTTCTCTCGCGTGTGGCCCCTCAGCCACGTGCCCGTGCAAGATGCTGATGCCATCTTCCCACCCAACACCTTTGCTGCATTCCATTTGTTGTTTTTTACACGACCATTAAACTTGCAATCTCCAGTCACAAGCGGTCAATCAATCCATCAACCCAAAGGGCAGCCGTTGCCACCACAGCACCGGCACATGGTTGAGGCGTCTGGCCAGCCGGATGGTATTGGTGGCCCACGGACACCCGTTCGCGCTCGCCCACTGGAGCACCTCCAGCTGGCCCTGATCGGCCGCACTGGCGCACGTCCTCTCGTTCCAGGGACAGCTGCTGGCCCGCAGACTGGAGCACCTCGAGGTGCCGCCGCCAGGAGTGCGGTCTGGCGTGGGCGTGTGTGAGTGGACGCGCGGAGGCTTTTTCGGGCGACAGGCGGAGGAATTTTACTGTTTACTTCTCTGCATTTTATATTATGTTATTTTACGACACGAGAGAGGAGAGATGGAGGCGTGGGAGGTGCTGCCGCTGGAGGTGTGGGCTCTGGTGCTTCGGCAGCCGCCCCTGGTGCCAGCTGACCTGGCGCGAGCCGCCTGTGTGTGCCGTGCCCTCCACGAGCTCATTGGACCCTTCATCGTCAGCCCCTCCCCCAAATCGGGCGTATGGGCCTCCGCGTCTGCCCGCCAGTGGCGCCTCGTCGCCGCTCAAGAAGCCCACCCCATCCTCACCCTCGCCGTTGGCAGCTGCGGTTTGTAACTTTTGCCAATTTATACATTACTTATTGTTTTTTGTTGTAGGGGTGCAGGTGGCTGTAGAGTACTGGCGGCGGGTGGTGGCTGAACATGACTTGTCGGGGTCGTCTGCGGGCGACGAGGTGGTCAACGTGCGGCTGTCCGATCACTCGCTTTACGGCCTGGGCACCCACTTCCGCCACACCGAACAAGGCAAGCCCCGCCCGCAAGCTTGGACGATCACACTCTACTGACGTCGGCGCACACGCACGCACACGCACACCGCACACCGCACACCGCACACGCACGCAGGAGGTGTGGCTGCGCGGGCGATCTTTGCCCGTGTGGGTCCGCTCGGGTTCGCCCCTCACGTCCCATTTCGACAGCTGATCGATCCCAACAAGTACACACACCCAACTCGCATGAAGACACGCGTACAATCAATCAATCAATCAACGCAGTTTACCCCTTCTCTCACCGCACACTCGTGTGTGCCTGCGTGTGTGCCTGCGTGTGCGTGTGTGTGCGTGTGTGTGCGTGTGCGTGTGTGTGCGTGTGCGTGTGCGTGTGCGTGTGCGTGTGTGTTGTGTCATGTCGTGAACAGTCTCTACGTGGGGTCGACCCCAAGCCAGC